GCCTACAAGGCATGAATCTAGGATAGGCTCTTGCTTTCCAAAGCCTTGTGACTTCACCGCCTATGCTTATTGAACACAAGTTGATAGCAGATAAAATGTGGATTGGTCTTGTTACCACACATCATCTGTCAGAAGAAAATGAAAATTATACAGTAATGGAAAATTTTTTACAATAACTAGAGCCTATCTAAGTCTTTATCTATCCAATATAAGGTGGATTCGAGTCTACTCAAGTCTTGTAGCTTCGTCGCCTATAATGTCGAAACTATTACAATTGGTAAATCAATGTTTTCATTAATATTAATTCATAACTTTCAAACATTATTGTAATAATTCAATAAGCAATACAAATTAATCCAACTTATAACATCTGCCATCTTTCTTATTCGTCTCATGCTTCATATATATTTTTAGAAAATTATTAAAGTGATGATACAAGCAAGACCATTGCAACCAATAGGAATTATCCTAAAGTTTAACCTTAGTTCTATTGATCTTAAATCGATATTTCTCTCATCATAAATATATTCGGTTCTTTATTAAAGAAATACATTCAAGTTTCATCTGTTTGAGAACACATTGTTAATGAATACTTACTCTTAATTCAAATTAAATCATTAGTTAATGATTCTTGCTTATTCTACGAAGTAGAAGCTCAAAACTGTGAATAATCTAATAGTCGAACAATTTTCTATCAATAACAATTGTTATTTTTTTCTTTATGGACCAGAGGTCAAATAGAACCGAGTTTTTCTAGATCAAGTTCGGTTCAGTTCGGCTGGTCTTTAAAAAGCAGTTCGACTGCGGTTCGACTGGAGTTTTATTAGTGCCATTTAATCAAGACTAGACCAAAAATCAAAACTTAATTTTCAGACGATCAAAATTGTCACATAGGAGTTCATATTCATGTCATTCAACACTGCTAAATACATTCGTAGTTTAAATTATATGTTAACATTGATACACGAGAATTAGACATATTCTAGTGCTGATACTAATCTCATATCACTACGGATGATTACAGGGTGTTTCATAAGTTTTGAGATGCGACAAAATTAGTTTATCTGCAGACAGAGAATAATCCCTAACCGAATGTATTTTATATAAGCTTTAAATACTCGTGATGACCTTTCAAATGACATAAAATTCAATGACATCTTCTCTTGTAATAATAAAAATACAACCATGAGAATATATTGATGAATTTTTCGAAATCGATCAACAATATGAGTCTTCTATAATAACTGATGATAAATAGTTAATGATATTTTTCATACTTTTTCTTGATATAGAAGGCTAAAATTTTTATCACATATAAATCTAATCAAGGTCTTTTATTCTTGAAAGTTTCAGCACTCTAGTTATAACTACTGGTGAAATAGATAAATTTTGATTATTGATTTTTGCATTATTTTGTGAATATAGCGTAAAAAATCGACTATCGAAATTTGTGTAATTCAATCTTATCGATGTATTTCACCAGTAGTTATAACTAGAGTGCTAAAACTTTCAAGAATAAAAGACCTTGATTAGATATATATGTGATAAAAATTTTAGCCTTCTATATCAAGAAAAAGTATGAAAAGTATCATTAACTATTTATCATCAGTTATTATAGAAGACTCATATTGTTGATCGATTTCGAAAAATTTATCAATATATTCTCATGGTTGCATTTTTATTATTACAAGAGAAGATGTCATTGAATTTTATGTCATTTGAAAGGTCATCACGAGTATTTAAAGCTTATATAAAATACATTCGGTTAGGGATTATTCTCTGTCTGCAGATAAACTAATTTTGTCGCACCTCAAAACTTATGAAACATCATATATTCATCGTACTTTAGAAAAATGGAGAAATTTATAAAGGAAAAATCAAACAATTATGCCACATAAAAGTGACCGGTCATCATAAACATAAGTTGTCTAACTAAAACTAAGAGAAAACGTAAACAACAATACACAGATATTAAATTTAGCATGTGAAACAATCAATAAATGTTCGTTTTTATCTTTCTTGACGGCATTATACTTCTCTAAATCAATGATAGTTTGGTTACTTTTCTGAGCATTGGACATTAAACCGTGTTCAACTTTTTTTTGCTTCAAAATTCCTTCAAATCTGGCTCAGTTCGTTTTTGACCTCTGTTATGGATAATATATTTTTATGTGCTTTACATTGTTTTCAATGTTAGAAAAAACAAAATATAAAGTCTAATAGTAAAATCTCTTCATACCTATCATATGATTTAATAAAAATCTTCGTTCTTTTTCACTACGTGTTTGTATATGATATGCATATGTTGAAAAATATTGTATAAATATATCATTTAATTTATCAATTGAAAATACTTCAATACGATTAAGTATAAATTGTATATATGAAAACCATGTTTCATTTATTGTTCGATCATCACTTGATTTTTGACAATCTTTTATTAATATTGTCCATTCATTTAAAAGTGTATCATGATCAAATAAATGTGAACGTGTACGAATATTTAATTTTAATAAACGATATTGTAAACGATTTGAATTAAGTTCTAGAGCTCGATCAACTATTGATAATTGTTTATTATATAATGCAGTTAATTTTTCTTGTTGTCCATTTGTTTTAAAAAGATAAAATTGATAATCAATTAATTCTTTCCAAGCATCAAATGAATGTGGTTGTTCACGAACAGTAATATTTAATTGTTCAAGACGATTATCTACTGTAACCAAAGAATCTGATGGTTGATTATCAATATCTTCAAGTTTATGATGAAAATAACGAATAATACGTTGTTTACGAGATGGTTTTATAATTCGAGAACCCAATGGACGTTGATTACAAAATTTAGCTCCATAACGAGGAACACCATGAGTATATTGAACAGTTATATTGGCACGATCACGACGACGATCAATATAGAATACATCACTAAAAAGAAAATAAAGCAAATTATGAAAATTTTCTTTTTTTTTTTTGTTTTATTTAAGTTCTCTAATAACTTCTAACAAAGTTCATATGATTTTTGATCTCAGAACATATCGACTTGTCTTTAACATTTGCTATAATTTTCTCTTGTCTTTTATTTTATGTCTTATGATTATTTAGATGTATATTATAAACTCTGCTTTCTTAAGAATTATTAAATCATATAGACTATATACATGTTTACTTTTGAGTTAAACAAAACACATTTATTTTTCTATGATTGATATTTTCGTAAAGTGATGTATATCAAGATTTAACTTATATCTATTTTTCAAATTATTAGGTATGATAGAAAAAAAGAAGCTTGAATACGAACTCGTTAGTTTCTTTTTTCTTTGTTATGATATGTTGAATTGGTTTTGCGATTGGTTTCTTTTCTTCTTTTGGTTTAACATCAATAAGTGGATCAGATTTTGTTGAAATAATTGATCGTTGTTGAAAAGGTACGATTGATGGTTCAGTAGAAAATGATTTATTCTCAAGCCAAGTACTTTCTATCAAAAGAGATTATATTGATTGACAACTTAATTTTATTTTACTTACCATTAGCACTATTGTTATTCGATGAAGATGATGATGATGGGACTATCGGCTTCTTTTCTTCTTCATTTTTTGCTGACGATTCAGAAGAAGCATAGGCTTTGAACATTGTTCTCTATTTTAAATCTTAATAATATATAACATCTAGAACAAAATTAATATGGTTGTCAGCATTTACTAATGACATCCTGTCTAAAAATAAGCTATTTATTCTAGTTGAATAGATTATGAATATGATAAAAAAAAACCTAGATGGTAACTAGAAGATGCAGTTTCATGTTGGATTATAGGATTTCATACTGTCTTATCATATTAGACTTCTTTCTTTCGAAAATTTCTCTCTACAGATATGGTAGAAACAAAACACAATATATTATCCTTCAAGTATATGTATTTTAATGGTAAATCAGAATTTCAACAAGCTTTTTTTACTCTCTTTATTCTAGCGAAAATTGGCTAAACTGTCGAAATTTCTCACACAACAATTTCGCTTACAGTCAGACAAAAGTTTATCCTTACGAATGTTTATATATTCTATATGACAAAAAAAAAATCTCCAATCATCAAATTAAGGCTAAACAGAAAGAGAATAGAAAAAAAGAAATATATCATAATGTAATAAACAGAATAGCTTGAATCTAAATAATAATCAATGTTTTATTAATTTTCATATATATATATATATTAAGTTAGTCTTTTTTCAAGTTCTTGTCTATAAAATTGAAATATTTGTCTAGCTATAGGTTGAGCAATAGATATAGCTTGTTCAAGTATTTTCATATCAAAATCTCCACTTGCATGTGTAGCTAATATATCATTTAATGTTATTTCAAAAACAAAAACAAAATAACTTGTTGATGCTAATTCATCTTTTGTTTTAGGTAATGATAAAAGACCTTTTGTTGGATGTTGAACAATAGGTACAGCAGCAAATGCATATTTCATTGGTAAATTTGCATCAAGCATTGTTAAACAAAGTGTATTACATAAACATGCAAGTATTGTTGCTTCACCAGATAAATTTTGTTCTTCATACATAACAATATTAATTTGTGAACGTGGATAATATTCCATTAAAACAGTTGAACGTACTAATGTTTCAAGCCATTGTTCAATAAGTTTATCTTTTGTTGATGTTGAATTTGTATTATTATTTCCTGGACGAGCTTGAAATGTAATATCAACTTGAAGACGATTAATTGCATCTTGTTGTTGTCGTAATTCACCAGGTCCATTAAGAAGACATGTACATAATGAATCATTTAATGTAAATGTTGCAGAACCTGTTGCTTTCGATATTGGTGATAATTTACAATGAAGACATGAAAATATTGATGTATCATTTTCATTTATTTGTGATATTGTTTCAGTCATCTGAAAAGAAGAATTATTAAAATTTTTATTTACAAACAAAAATAAACATACATTATATATTATTTAGAAATGTAGAAGAAAAAAAAAGAAAGAAAGAACTATTCTCAGTGTGTTAACCAATCGAGTAATGATGATAAATTCATTCCTGTTCGAGCATTTGTTTCTATTATTTCAACTTCTCCTTTCCAAATCGAATCCAAATCAAGTAATTCGATCAAAGTTGCTTTATTTAATGAATTAATTTCATTTGTTTTATTAAAAACTAAAAGAATATTTTTCGGTTTAATTGGTATTTGTTCACATATTTCTCTTAATTGTTCAAATGTAAATGAAATAGACCATGGTTGTGTTGAATCAATAACATAAATAATTTTATCAAAATGTGTACTCATATAAAATGTTTTCCATAAACAACCTAATGTTGAACCAAGTTCATGTAATTCAAATAATTGATTACGTTTATTTTTGATAACAGTTAATGTTTTACCAATTGTTGCTGTTGTATAAAGAAATTCATCATGATTTGTTTTTGATGATGAACATATTTCTTCCAAACGTTTTATTAAAAGACTTTTTCCACTCCAACGACTTCCAAGTATAAGAATTTTTTTTGTTAATATATCAGACATTAATCAATCTATGAATGAATGAAAAAAAACAAAACAAATTCCATGAATGTTGATTTTTTTAATTATGTTTTATTGTAACAAAAAAAAAAGAAAAACAATGTAAAACCTTACAACACTCATATATGTCCTTAAAAAAAAAAACAAAAAAAAAAAAGTTTTCCTAACAATCATAACAAAAAAGATGTTTAAGGCTTTTTTTCGTATTGTTTCTGGCTTACGAGAAAACAAGAAAGAAAAAAGAGATAAATGAAAACAGTTTGTTTGTTTGTTTTGCTACTGATCAACACACATTTGGATACGAAGGGAAAGAAAATGGACATTAATTAATTCTGATTGTTTGTTATAACTTCACCACCATCTATTTGACTATCACAAGATGAATATGATGGTGGTGCTGACGATTGAGATTGATCAAAAGTTGAAGATGGATTTATTTGAAATAGATTTGCTTGTGGCCAAAGATGATTACATTCAAGACGATATTTTTCAATTATGGAAGATTCAATTGAACCATAATCACCTAATTGCATATTTTCATAAATATTTGAACATACCTGAACAAATAAATCAAGATAAAAAGATATAGAGAAATACAAAAAGAAAAATAGAGATACAAACTTTTAAATTTTGATCGATAAAATTTGAATTTAATGTTGTAAGAAATTCAATAGCTTTGAAATTATTCTTTGGATTAATAAGAAGCATGATTTTGACAGCTGAATATAAATTAATTTGTGTAAATAAACTAAATAAATGATTGATATTTACCTTCAGCACGATATGATAATGAATTTGAATGATTTTTAATAAAATTTTCATTGAATTCTTCAATATTCTTTATTGAATCTTCTTGTTTAATATCAAATATTTTTAATTCTTCATCAATTAATGTTCGTAATCGTTCATCAACTATAGGTTCAGTTTTAACTATCATCAACAAAAAAATAAAATAAAAATCAACATTTATAAAATAAATCTTTGATTCTATTTGTCTTTTTTTTTTTTTTTGTTTATCTAACCTAATTTTAAAAATTTCATTAGACATGAATGAAGTTTAGGATGATTTGTATCTAATTTTTTCATTCGTTTTAAACAACGTAACATTAATAAATATTTTTCTAAAACAAAAATTTTTATAAATTAGTTTTGTTTTTTTATTAGTTTTATTTGTAACATACTTCGTCGATAATAAACTTCAAAACCTAAATAATGTGTTTGAATAAAATTACCAGAAAAATCTTCAAGTGGTTGTAAAAATCTCATAGCTTCTTCTAATGGTTTTTCACACTGAAAAAAATATATATTGATAAATAAATAGAAAATAATTATTATTAATATACATGTTCAAGTTTTTCAGCAACAATTTCTTCTTCTTTAACTTTTTCTTCTTCACCATCATCTTTATTTCGACTACGTTGAAATTCTTTTTTACGTCGTTCAACTTCGATTTGTTTTTGTTTTTCTTGTTGTTCACGTAATTGTTGTTTACGTAATTTATTTTTTAATTTTTTTGCTTCACCAATTGACATATTAGCTAAAAAATAAAATAAATTCATTATTTTCTGATTTTAATTTATAAAAGATATTTTTCAACTAAAATATATCATTAACATTGAATAACACATATTTTGTTGATTAATAATTGCTTTTACGTATATTAAAGTTTCTCTTAGAACCTTTTTTTTCGTTGTTCAGTTTGAAATTCATTTTCAGTTTAATCCTTTATTTCGTATGGAACTCATCGAGTAGAGAGTTGGTATTGATTCAATCAGATGAATAGCTTAAATAGGTGCTAATCATAATACTAGTATAGTTAAATTTGAGCGAAGTCATTTCACTGTGGAACTGCAGAATGGGTCAAAAAAAAAAGTAGCCCATTCGACTTGCATGACATGAGAATTGAGTTTACTGTTAATTTGATGTTTTAGATTTTTCGTTTTTGGTCATGCTGTTATTTTATCTGTATAAAGCTGGACAACAACTTACCATGAATTATTTTTTTTGAAAAATGATTTATTTCGAAGGAACGATGTATGATGCAACACCTATAAAGAAGGCTATTTTCGGATTGAAATCAAGCCTTTCATTTTTAAGATCGTGTTAGAATCGTTAGTGTTCATTGTCTTTTTATAATATGGAATTATTAGTTTTGATTTCAATTCGCAATCATCTATTCCTATTATTACGGTCTCATTTAGAAGGAAGATCATAACAGAAGCTATAGATTTCTATCGTTTACCGATAATAAGTTATTTAAAAATGATTGTAGAATGCTTTTACTTAGAGTTATCCAAAAGTAGTGACGGAGGTTCTTTTTTTTTCTTATAGAAAGCTTGAAAAAAAGCACCGTTTTCCGATTCATATGTGTTAGCCAAAGAATGATGCAAAGAAGTTTAATTTTTTTTGATCTCGTGGTTTTTTAGATGTTTTACAAATATTCCATAATTGTCTCGATTCGATGCTATACTACTTCAAATAGATAGTTTTTATGAATACATCAAAAATAGTTCAATAGGGGAGGAGTCAAGAATTAATATGTAACAGTCACTTCTAGTTTGATAGTCTTTCAATTAAATTTCGCTTTGTAAGAGATGTGAAAATGAAAATACTCAAATCTATTATATTCGATTGTTCTGAATTGCAAAGATATCCAAAAGTTAAGTCTAAGCAGTTTGAGTTTGATATAGATATAATATGTATTTAAGATTTCATTCTTAAACAATATACCAAGATCTCACATTTTTGAAAGAATTCTAAGTATATCTATCATGACCTTACGTTCTCATAAACCTAAATAGAGTCTCAATTGAATATTCTACTTTATAAATACGAACTTTGGATTTAGTATAAATGTATTACATTAATTAAAGCTTTAGTTTATTCATATTTTCACTCCAATAAAATCAAAATTTACCATAATGTTTTTATTTTTAGTAAACAAATCTAGAGATATTTATATTTTTCTTACCAAGATTGTCATTTGTATCATTATCTTGTCCAGATAGAGGATGATCATAAAGACGAATATAAATCTAAATAATAAAATTTGAATAATTTTCTTTTTTTTTAAATTTTTTGTTCATTTACTTCAACAGCAATTTCGGCTGCTTGACGAAAAAATCGATGACCTTTCATATGATCTTCGAGATTGAGCATATCAACATAAGCACATAGCACCATTTTACGAAGACAATATGAATGAAAATCAAATTGATCTTCAATAAACTCTTGAAAATGCTAAACAAAAAAAAAACTATCAAATCAAAATAAAAACAAACAAATATACTCGATCAATTTCATGACATTTTTTTAGAGCTTCACCATATTTTTTTAAACGACGATAAGCTCGAGCCATTTCTAATTCAAACCACATACATTGCATTTCACGAAGATAATCAGCTGGTAAAGAATTTTCCTTCATATAAAAAAAAGAACAAAAAAAAAAAAAAACTTATAAATTTTTCATAATTTAATATACAACAAACATTTATACTCGTGTAAATTTTCCAGCAATTTCAAGTGCATTATTTATTTGATTAGCACGTAATAAATATTTTGTACATTTACAATTGACAAATCGATCAGCTGTATCAAGTGATTGAGCTTCATCCATCCATGAAGCAGCCGTTTGAAAATCACCCGCATGCTATTTATACATAAAATAAACTATTATTGAAAAATGAAAAAAAAAAAAAAAAACAATAAGAATAAACCTTGAATATTTTTGCTTTAAACATATAAAGTTCTACAAGTGTTGGTGTATCACATATAGCTTGATTAATATATTCAAACGCTTTATTTATATCACCCAAATAATCGTAATGTTGAGCAAGATAATACTGAAGCCAAAGAAGACTGGTAGGTGGTTCGGTTTCTTTTGTTAAATTTTCAATACCTTTAGATAATAAAAAGTTATTGTTTCAAAATTGTTTATATGAATTTCAAGTATATTAATTTTGTCAATTTTGTAGAAAAAAAAAAAGAAGATTTTCAACAATGTAGAATTAAATCATACCTGATGAAATTTCAAATGTTCCATATTTAATTAGATTATTTAAATAAGTACGTAGAAGTGTATCAATTATTTGAATCTGTAAAAGAAAAATAAAATCAATTATAATTTAAATAGAAAGACAAAGAAAACTGACTTTTTCTGGTGTTGCATATAAAAACTTAACAGATTGAAAGAGTGATGGTACACCTTTTTGAAGTCCTCTTTGTAAATATAATCCAACGGCTTTTGCAAATGGTTCACCTAAACAAGTAAAAGTTTATATATATATATATTTTCAAAAACAAACAACGCTCATTATTAACAAATGTAGAAAGTTCTCATAAGAAAATTTGATTATATGTGGCAACTTATACACTAAAAAGAATATTGCTAATATTGTCTTATTTACAATAACAAAAAACTCTTAAGTGTTATATTGCTAGAATTCTACTGGTAGATATTAATTGAAAACTATTATTTACTTCGAATGTAAACATACTCTAATGTATTATTTATGAATAAGACTGTAAATATTGAACTAGAGATGATGATGATGATAGAATTCAGAAAATCAGAATACTGATTCGAATATATAATTTCAAGCATACTGAAAAATATTTTCAGTTTAACATGTGCATGAATCAAATGTTATTTAGTATAACCTATCAATTGAAATAAAGTTCATTCGACATGCATGATTTCATTGAAAGCATCAAGTCATATATAAAGAATCTTCGTAAGACATTATAAACAAATAAATACAATTATATTCATTTGTAAAAATATGCTTTCGTTCATCTTAATTCGAGTGTAATGATTATGAATACTTATTAAATTAAAAATTAATTTAATAGTTCATCAAATCAATTTGAATGTACTATACAGTCTGAAATGTTATAAAGTTTCGATTAAATATTACTTTCATTTTATATAAAATATTAATATTTCAAACGAAATATATATTAATATTTGCTTATAGAACGATTAAAATATAATTACCGGTTAGAAATTGTAAACTTATTTGTTTGGGTGCATCAGCTTTTGGATATTTTTCAATAAGATTTTCATAAAGTTTTGTTTTATCATCAATATTTGTTAAATGTAAACATTCTTCTAACATATAATAATATTTTTTATTTCCAGTATTACGTTCAATTAAATCTCGTAAAATTGTTTCAGCTCGATCATTTGTACCCAAACGCATATATAAATCATATTTTATTTCTGCTAATACTAATTTATTATATATATCTTTTTCATGTACTTGTATATGACGTAAAGCATCTTCATATTGTCCACTTTCACGTAAAACAAGATTTTGATATAATAAATATTCTGAATGTTCATTATCATATAGTTTATCTGGTGAAGGTGCTGGACGATCTTGTTGAGTTTTACGAAATTCTTCTAGTACACTTTGTGCCATATCATAATCACCTAATAAATGATAAGACATTGCAAATCCAACCCATGATTGACGTTGACCAGGTTTTAAATTAAATAATTGATGACGTGTTTCCTAGAAAATAATTTCATATTATTAAATTATTGATTTTCTTCTTTTTGTTTTTATATATTACTTTGTAACCATCAAGATCACGCATTTGAATTTGTAATAATGATAAATCACGAAGAATGGTTAAACTATCCTATCAAAATTAATTGATTAATTAATAAATAAATAATTTCAAGAATAAAAAAATATATGTTCGATATAATCAGTTAATAATTATATTTTACCTACTTTTTCACATTGTAATGCTTTTTTATAAGCTTTTATAGCTTCATCATATTTACGTTCAGATCTTTGCCATAGACCATAAACATGCCATACTACATGACTCGTAATATTATTTTTAATTCCATTACGAATATTTTCTAAAGCTTCTTCTTTTCTACCCATAGAATTAAGGATTAAACCTTTCATAGACAACGTTTCTAGACAATAAATAATGTTAAATTCAGTTGTTTTTTTTATAGACACATTACACATACCACCATGATTTGGAAATTTTTTTAATATTTCTCTAGCAGCTGCCAAACCTTTTTTATATTGTTTTTGTTCATAAAAACGCTATTTAAACAGAAAATAAGATCATATATTGATTCATAAAAGAAAAATTGTAAACGTACGACAAGTTTTTTGAATTGACTATTTTCACGTGTTGTCAATTGTTGACTGGGAGTTTGAGTTGATTGATTTGGTGGTGGCATAATTATCTATCTATGAACGAAAGAAAAAAGATAGATAGATATGAAAAACTTACAAGTTCAATTTTTGAATATATTATAACATACCTTTGATTGTTTTAAACTTTAACTTAAAATATAAATAGGATTATGAGAAAAAAACTGAAATCCTATAATGAAAGAACAAGAAAATAAATAAACAATGAAATACAGAAAACGGAGGTCGACATTGAAATATCGAACATCCAATATTTGTTGATCGATAATAAATAGGGATTCAAAGAATTGCAATGGTTGAATACAAACCATTAACATATAATTTGAGCATCGACTGGATGGAAACTATCGCCATCTAGATCGTAGCTTTTGTTTTTCTACTATATATATCAAGATTGTAATAACTGAAAAGTTCGCATAACATTTCACATCAAACTAACTATAAATTCATTTTTTTTTGTAATGAAAATGTAGATTTTAAGATCAAGATGTATTAGCAAAATTAAATTAGATACACTCAGAATCTAATAGCAATTGATATTAATTTAACAATTCATATATTTTCTCAAGCGGATGTGGGTGTGGGATGGAGTGTAGATGAAACGAGATGTCTTAACTTTACACTCACTCATATATATAAACAAATGATATAAATGATTTTGTGAAAGACAAGATTGCACATGTAATGGATTGACACTTTTTCCATCAATGATTAGTCAGAACGAATGCTTGATATCATTAAAATGAAATGTTCTTAAAAGAGAAGATTCAGAGATAAATAAACATTGTACAAAAATGATAAAAACAAAAGATTAGAAATTTTCTCTCTTTCATGTCATGTTAAAATCTTCGTCCATACTCAATCGTCAACAATGAGCACTTGGTACACAATTGATATGTAGAATATGGGTCTCGTCAAATGACAATGGTTTCAGAGAGAAATTAGTGTTGACATTTATAGGTACGAGTGGCATTGAGTTGAGTAAAAATTCTTGATTTTGTGGGAGAGGTGAAAGTATTGGTTCGACACTTTGATTTGTCGTATTATTATGTCGAAGAATAGCAAAAAATCGATCACTATCATTAGTGATGATAGCTGCACAAATCCAATAGATACTTGCCAATGATCCTTGGTTCATAGTAACTAACACATCATATCGTTGACTGATATAGATCCATACCTGTTGCACTTCATAAGGTTGTACATATACACCATCGATAGCAACTATTGTCAAATTATGATTATCAATAGAAAATTGATAATTGAGTTCACTGCCGGTTGCAATCAGACGAAATCGATATGTTTGATTGTAGGCAATTGTACAACGTTCATAAGGTCGATAGAATGCACAAATGAGATTATCATCGAGTTGATTCTGTTCTTCACCAGTTATATTAAGCATTAATAAAGGTTGTTCAATTAAAGAGCAGTCGTATCGATCTTTGCCATTCATAATACCTGACAAGAATACTGGGCATCTATGATGATGATTAGTTGGATGTGTAGTAAGAATATCAGATTGGTCAATCGCATATCTATGCCACCATTCAGTCATCGTAAGTAAAAATTTGGGCAAACCTTCGTATGAATCTTCCGAAGCTTCAACAATAAGTACCCCGAAGAGACCGTCGGCATATTGAGCACCAATTTGTGAATGAAACCAATGAGTACCGACAGGACTTGCTACGAATGTGTAATCAAATGATTGCATAGGCATTATTGGATATTGAGTGATGTGTGAAACCCCATCCATCCAAGGTGTATTCAATTGATGAATTCCATGTCAATGAATAGATGTTGATTCATTTGGGAGATTATTGTGAACCATAACCTGAATGATATTGTTCTTGCAAGCACGAATTGTTGGTCCAGGAAAATTAAAAATTCCATCACCATCATCAATCGCAATCACAACATGATAAACACCATCGGGATTGTACTTAGCATAGTGAATAGTCCAATTATATTGAACAGTAGTTGCTTCAGATAGAATCACAGCAAAATTGAATAAGATAAATGTTGTTATCATTGCTTTCACTGTTTGTTATGTGAAAAAGATGCTATTCGAAAATAGATCAAGTATAACAAGTGCTAAAAAGTACTTAGAACAACGTCAGAGTGGTTGATGTGACAGTGGTAACAACTAGTTATGTCTGGTTTTCGATATTCGAATATACAAAGGCCTAATCCTTTCTGATTATAAGATTTATTCTATCTGAAGAGTTTTTTCAATCGCAGTTGGTTGACTAATGTTTTTCTTAATGTACTTTTGTATCAGGCTTTTTTTTAACATTCTCAACTTCAATTACAGTAAAATGTAGTCGCGATAGTGCTTTATTCTCTGCCAAGTTAACAGGCTAAAAAAAGAGTTGTTGAGAATGAGGTTGTATAGAAGAAGAACAAAATCTAATAGCCTTACAACGAACAAAGCATAATTGAAGCTATATTCAATTATAATTTGAGTTCAAATTGTGGTAATATCTGATGAAAAATAGCAAGGAGAAAAATATCAGTTGAGAAACTCTCATGGTAAAATTTCTTTTGAAGTTGTTAAATCCTATGATCATACTTACTCAATACATCGTTTTCTTTAAATTGTAAAAACTATAAGTGTTTACATGTTTCTACTCTAAAATAAATAATATGACGCTTACCCCATTTGCTTCCTTCTAGTATGTGTTGGAATCTATTTTAAATAAGACATACAAACTCGTGAAGAATCATCGATTCTCAGCTATATTGGATATTCTCTCTCGTGACACTTTCTCTGACATAGTCGCAACTAAGCTATTCCATAGGTCATCCGAGATTTTTGGATGTCAATGTTGTGTAACGTCATTCTGTCTACTTCCTTTTTTTAATGTGTTGTGAACTTTACACGAAATTAGAAATGCAATTTGTAATACTACTTAGCTTGTCAAATAAATTCGCGCCTCTAATATTATCTAATCAAATAGATTGATAATGAGGATATAGCAGATAACTAATGATTCAAAAACAAGCCTTCAATCTTTTATTTGAAGTATGTGTCACTTCTTTTGTTCACTTAGATGAAGTTTTTTTTTTCACTTCGAGAATAATCATAACAATAAATGAGTCATTTTCAGTAACTTGAACCGCTAAGTATTGATATCGTACAGAACTATCACCAAAAATAAGAACGAGAATCATCAAACAAGATAAGCTGAAAAAATAACAAGAGAAGCTTATTTAAAACTTTATCAAATGTTAAAACTATTGCTACACGAATTCCTTTGAAACATGACCCGCTGTGAGCGTGGGTATGTCGGTAGGGTGTGACGCTAAGTATGCGGGATTTTGGGGGTGAAATGAATGAGAGTATTCATTGAACTTGGTCCATACCACATCTTCACTTTCAGTTATCACAACCTATACGTCACACAGATACACAACTACCATCTATCACTAGTGTCAACCTCACCCTCTGGATATCATTATCATGTATTTTAGACTGTGGCTCTAGTCATAGTTCACTTTCACTGCTTGATTATCTACTTCTTACTCATTATCGTGAATTATCAAATAACAAAGATCAACGTATGTTCCTTTTGCTCTTTTTATTCATATTTATCTGCTTTCATGTTCTTCGTTTGATATTACATTTGCCTTTCTTTAAAAACATAATAATGATATAGGTATGAGAAACATAATTCGATTTTTATCTCTCTATTCAATTCCTCAAACGAAGCATTGATACACTTCTCTCTAGTTATAATTTAAATTCTTTATTTTTAATAATCAAATTTTAATATTATTCTACAATTTAAAATTGCTTCTCTCGAATGTTTTTTACGAAATTAAGAATCGCAGTGAGTTCAAACATGATTTTATCTAAAATAAGATCATTTTATACCAGCAAGATAGTTTTCAATCGATACATTGTTTCGATTCGACTACTTCCTTTATTAAAAGTCTACAACAAATATAATAATGTCTTATGAATTAGAACGAAAACTTCCAATCAAAAAATTTGCCAAAGTATGATGATTGATGATTAAGTATGAATGAAGATTTTAACATAATATGAAAGAGAGAAAATTTGTAATCTTTTATTTTTATCATTTTTGTACAACGTTTATTTATCTCTGAATCTCCTCTTTTAAGAACATTTCATTTTAATGATATCAAGCATTCGTTCTTACTAATCATTGAAGAAAAAAGTGTCAATCCATTACATGTGCAATCTTTTCTTTCACAAAATCATTTATATCATTTGTTTATATATACGATAACTGAAAAAAGTTAACGAAGAGATGAATAGTTAATTGATGAAAGTAATTAAAAAAAAACGAAATCCTCATAGAAAATAAAACAAGTACATGAACAGAAAGATGAATAATTGAATATATTCAAACTGATTCTTAGTTTAGTCTTATAAATTTTAGATTAATTGTTATCATAATGAATACTTCGAATATATTTCATAAGTATCGAAAATGGTTCGGTCTCGTATGGCTGATAATTGAATTGAATTTACTCGGAGGAAATATTCTCGGTTTTTCGGCACTCTTTGATATATTGCCAAAATATGGGATATATTCAAATTTATGTGTCCATGCTACGTTTGCAAATACTTCGAATGCACAAAATAGAACAATCAGTGAGAATTGTGACAGACAAACTGGAAAATATCAGGTATGTGTGAACATAAAAAAAAAAGATTAATCAATTGTTTTGAAATATAATTTGTTAGCTTGCTCTTACCATCGGTATTTGGTTTTATAATTTGATGCCATTCTTTCTTGGTCATGTGATTAATTATTTTGGATGTCGATTTCTTAAACTTGTCTCCATGTAAGTTGAGTCAATTTCGAAAATACGATAAAAAGTTCTTGTTGTAGAGTTTTTCATATAGTCGGCTGGCTGACTTTGGCTTTTGTGGAACCGGGTATGAAATCAGTGATGATAGTTGATCATTTTTATAAATTATTATTTTTTGATGATTTAGGCAGAGATTATCTTGTTTTCATTCATACTGTATTTATCTCAGTTTCATCTATTGTCATTCTCATAACTTCTTTTGTTTATTGTGGTTATTTTGCTCGTTATCGCGGTCTTGTTTCTTCAATTATTGCTGGTGCATCGATCTCATCAACAATGTGGTTTTCAATTTTTCAAGTAAATTATTGAGCAATACATAACTATTACCATGAATTGTTTTCCTAGGTATTAATCAATGGTGGTCGAACAAATCTACGAACACTTTCAATTATTTGGACAGTTTTTGTTGTACTAATGATCGGTAGTGCTCTTCTCTTTATGGATTGGCGATTTCAATTGTTGAACTTGCCATATGGATTCGTTACAAATTCCGAGACGGATAAACAATCAAGAAAATCTATTGGTAAATAAATAATGATCAAATAATGAATGCAACATCATAAAGTTATTGATTATTTTTTATTCTAGAGATTGACAATGCGGCAAACATGATTAATATGCCTTGGTATCGACGTATAGTGAATCGTGTTGATGTTTGGCAACATTTATTGAATCCAATTTACATTTTTGTGGTACTCTATTTGAGTGTTCTCCTTTTACCGGCTGTGTTTTTACCAGTCACTTGGTTTCCATGGATGATGTATGTTACGAATGGCAATGAGAATCTTTGTAAGTATTGATTTCATGTTGAATTAACTGTAAAATGAATTATTGTCTAGCGAACAGATATACATTAATATTTAATTTGTCTACTGTTGTTGCTCTAATTATTTGTCCGTGTAGTGGTACTTTGCTCGATTATCGAGCTCATAGAAGTAAGACGAAAACAAATCTCAATTATTATGATTGACAAATAATTTTCTTTTTTTTGGTTGTAAATTCAGATCATAAACAACGATTGTTTAATATTGCATTAATGCAAACAATCACATGGTGTACATCTATGGCAGTATGTATCGTTCGAATGTGCAATACGACCTGTTGTATCATAGCTGTAATAGTTCTGAATTGCATTGAACGATCACTCATTGTCGGTGGTAGTCAAGCTGTCGTTGCATCTTTGTAAGTACCAAATTCACTTTAAACATATGTCATGATAGTAGTGACCTTCGAATCAATTCATCTAATGATGTTTTATCAACTATAGAAATCGAACAGTTCACATAGAATCGATTTTATTCATTTTAGTTTTCCATCGGAATATATTGGTACTTTAACTGGCGTGTTGTGGACATCAGCTGCTATATTTTCTTCCATACAATATGGTCTTTTGCCACTTGTCGAAGCTGTTGATAAAAGTTGGCGAGTAAGTTACGTTTCTAAAAAATATTCAACTTATCTAATGAGAACTCTTGTAGGCTTGGACTATTATTTTGGCTCTTATTATAGTCATGGCATCTCATTGGATACATATGTGGTATCTTTTTTTCACATCAAAATCAACTGCTGTGTCTAATCAAGTTTCAATATCATCGGAAAAATCTGAAGCCCATGGCCATGCTGAACATCATGCCTATGATAATGGTATAAAGGAAGAGAATCCAAATAGAGATTAAAAGAAATTTGACATTTCTTTTCTTTTTTTTTTGTATTAAGGGCTTATGAAGGTAGTATCTATCTACCAATACACTTAGGTTCTTTTATAGAACTTTTTTAAAAGCTTTCTGAATTATTCAAAATATTTTAGTCAGTATCTATACAAAATTTCTCAAAAATTATCATTCGAAAGTCAACAATTAGAACTCTGCTACGCTTCGACTCATATAGACGATACATTTCTATATGTTATTTATCTTAAATAAATTCTTTTTCTGAGAAATTCTCATTTTTTTTTATGGAAACTACTAAAATAGTGGATTGAATTTCGAACCGAATTTCCAGTTAGAATCCATGCGAGATATTGCTCCTTCAAAAAATAGGTTCTATATTAGTATAGATCTTCTATTCTCACAGATTATCTTTTCTGAAAAACAACTCAAATATTCACCTAAGAAAATGTTCTTGTTTTCTGTTTGGCGCATGGACTATACAAATTCTCATAGCTACAATTCATATCTTTCTTACACTCTCTTATTGACATGTGTTCTTGGTATTTTTTGTTAGGATTGTGTTATTCTATGAGCTGCATATTTTAATTTTCTCATAGAAAATTGTATTATGGAATTAAAATGGTGAACTAGATATACATATTTCATCGCAATATCAAAATGAGATGATGATGATTATAATCGTTGATCAAAAGATTAAAACATTCTATTTTCAAGTTAAACTGAAGCAGTTATGATAACTGATTTTTTTCTTAGTCTAAAAATTCACTCATCATAATACTTAATTCGTTTCAAGCTCAATATATAACTTTCTAGTTATTTTCACTAGGCAAATACGTTTTTTTCATCGTATCTCGAATACAATTAGCAACGCAATGCATAAAAATCGATTAAGTGATGTTTTACTAAAACAGAATTTCAAAACTCAACTTGGATGAATAGGTTGTAGTTAGGCACATACCGTTTACGATTTTATCGTTCAACACTACTAGTGATTTTTCAAAAATATGAGATCTTGTTATTTTGAATAATTTCAATCTACTATTTAGCATAATGCTCGAATAGCTTTAGCAATATTTTGTTCATGATCTTGAGTCAGTAATTTGATAGGAGTAGCCGATGTTGATGATTGCATGAAATTTCGTACTTACTTTTCTACACTCGAAGTCTCACGACTAGTTTTTAATTCGTATTTTGGTATACGTACTCTCGACACTATTGGTTTGTGAAAGTCGATGTGGAATAACACAAATGAATATTTATTTTGTTTTTCTTAGGTTCGTAAACCTAGACAGAGAGATAATAACAGAATTTTCTTCGTTAAACTCTGTCTTTCATGAAGAAGAATGTCTGATAAATAAGTCAATTCCTTTCAACAACTATTCGAAATTTATTATGGATGAAGAATCTGTTCGCCTTTATAACATGTTGTTGCAGTCGAATCACCGATCACTCCTAATCAACTCAAATCTTTGGTAAATCAGACAAAGGCTGCTAGACCATCTTCAAATCCATGTAAATTATCATCAAGTTTAATTATTGATGGATACTCATTTCTATCTCGATTCATTGAGACGTGTTTGCGAAGAATGACAATCATCATATTCGTCGCGATCTCATCTGCATATGTTTCATATTTATACTCATATGCGCCAACCACTATCTGAGCTACATTCAATAAAATTCATGTTAAAATGGGAAAAAAGTAGAAAATTGAATAAGTGTCGATGCAAATAACGTGGTTTTATTTCGATTGTTTGTGGTTAGTAATGAATCATAAGAATTGAAAAAGAATCATTTGCGAAACTAACTCAATTTGTTTTAGTGTATTCATTCATTAAAATTAATCTTCTTTTTTTTCTTTCTAGGCTATATGTATCAACTCAAAGATTCTGGTTGTTTTTTTTCTCATGTAACTTATGGCAACATTCCGAACATAGTTTGTCCTTTATGTACTGTAGCAAGAATGTATCGTGGATCTAAACGTGTCACAATCGTTGCCATAAGATTTCTCGTTCGAGCAAGATGTTTGGCACTGAAATCGAGTAAGACAAAATCAGCTGGACCGTTTTCATAGATGCCACCTTTCTCATTTTTTCCGTAGATTGTCGGATAGCTGTTGATTGTTGTGGCCATACAAAGAATTGCCTTCGGATCATGTGTGTTATCACCACTTTGACTCTTACATAATCGATAAGCAAAATCCATTTCAGCGAGCATGTTCGGCTGATTAAGCATGACATTATCAGTTCCAAGCATTAGATTGATACCTTTGGTCAGTAGAGCATGAATAGGAGGTAATTTGAGGCCAAGTGTAGCATTTGCTCGAGGACATACGACGAATATGCGATGTCGAAGACTTAAATAGAAATAAAAATACTAAATAAATAGTCGAATAAAGTTAGTTATTACCAATCATCAGATCGTTGTTGTTGGATAATCACATCAATATCTTCCTGTGTTGCTTCAGTTAAATGTACCACAATGTCCGGATCATAAAGTTCAAATGCTCGTTGAAGATCACTTTGGCGTCCACCCGTTCTAGCCAAACTCACACTTCTATAGCTATCACTTTCCAGACAATGTATCGCTCGAAGTTTATTATTGTATTGTTTCGACATTTCACGTATTGTTATCCATGCACGATCAGTTAAGTCGTTCATTGTACTTTCGGAAAATCCATCAGCAGCTGCTTCATTATCTTTTAAATTCCAAAGAGTTTCCAATTCAGATTTCGATTTTTCAGGTAATGCTTGAGAACTATCCGTCAAATCAACAAATGGACTTTGATCAAATTGAGATAGTACAATTGATTTGATGCCTATTGCTTGCTTCTCTGCTTGTCGAATTAAATGAAGTCCATCAATACCTTGTTCACGAAAATCCCAATGCATGATAGTTCCTGTAGAGAGCATATATTTCATTATATCACACATAGAATCGATTAGTTGTTGTTTGGATTGTTTTGCTAATTCAACATACTTGAAACCATGCGGTCGGAAGAAACCCTGTTCAAGTGTTAATCCAGTAGCACCATCCGGTAAGCAAGAATCTCCTATATGTGTATGACCATTTACAAAGGCTGGTATGAGGACATGTTCCGTTAATGTATTGGCAAAAATTTTATTATAATCTTTATTATCGGCAAATTCGATGCTTGTAATTCGTCCGGAAATTTCATCCCAAGCAAAGCGTTTACACAGACGAACATCAAGATTTTGATCATGTAAAATAACTATATTGAAAAGTTCAGGCATTTTATATGATTGAAGGATTTTCTTTGTGCCGTCTTTGACTTACTGAATATGAAACGATTTGGTTATACGAATGAAAGAAAAAAATTTCTTATCTACCATCTGTTTTTGGTTTCTTGTAAGATATTGTGCCAAGAGATACACCGATGTGACATGCTATCACCAATATGTGACATCATCATTACGTTATTTTACTCTCACTTCATATCATCCTTGTATAATGTCAACCTTATATCCTTACATTATACTGTTCATAGTGTTCAATACTTTTTCAATATCTTTGTAATCGTTGCGCTACTCACTGCATATATACCCATTGTTCTCTCTTCACTCCGAGAGATTACCGCATCAAACAGATGCAAGAACAAATCGTTGAGAAGGAGAAAGAAGAGAAGAGAGTAGTCGATATCGCGCAGTGTTAAGGATACAACATACTCGAGATTACACACCTTTTTGGATGGTATACTTCGTTGGTGTAAAAGTTAGATAGATATATAATAATGTGTGTTAATATTGAGAGAGAAATAAAATCACGTACAACAAGTAACGGAATTGAGCTTGAAGAAATAATAAATAGAGCATGGTTTTAAAATACGTGATCCAACTACGCTGTTACCAATCTTTCTGCATCATATCCTTCACTTATTCTCAAGTTCTCGTTACAGATATGTTTGCTAGAACGTTTATTATTTCATTCTCAAGTACAGTTGCAGAAAAAAATCGAGGATACATCCATCATCATTGAGCGATACTTTTTTCTAGATGATTTCTCTGTGTTTCAGATTTAATCGAAGCAAGAAAGATCGATCAATTTTTTCACAATTATTAAATGACTGAAGCTAATCATGGATAGCAGGCATTTCTTCTAGAGTCAAATTGGAAAAGCGCTTGAGAAAACAATTGTCAATTCTTTATCTACTATTTGCCATTCTTGTTCTTTCGGCGACTTGTATCTTTGACGTGGCAACTGAAAGTTATCATCTGTTACTTCTAATCCTAATATTTGCATCCTCTTCGAGAGTAACATTACGTCACAAACACAAGTGGTTTGAGTAAAAAAAAAGACAAATAAGTCGGAGAAAGACACAAGGTTTAAATAGACAAGCAGTATGACAATTGATGATCAAATCTTTGAATCATTGTTTGTTTGTCCTACACAAACGCAGTGGCGGATTTATGGAGAGGGCGCTTGGGGCGATCGTTCCATATAGACAGAACAAAAAACCGGTTTTTTCTAGAAGAAAACGCTTAAAATGAAGCTAAAACTATCTTTATAGAGCTTCAAAATACATTTTATGTGAATAATCGCCCCATATTGAAAAATTTATAGATCCGCCGCTGCACAAACAAATCTTTATTCGATTGAAACTATAGGTTTGAAAAATATTGTACACGTTATCATCGAGAAATGTAAAAATGGATTTTTAAAAACTTATCAAATAGTACACAGTAATGAGATTTGACTGCTGTTGTTAAAAATATTAAGTTTATTTACATACAAAATTCTTTTACTTAATTGCTACTCATAAAAATTGTCTAGACACTTGTTCATTATTCTTCACATAACACAAAATATAAAAGGAAAAAAATGGGAAAATAGGTAATTGAAATGGATAGTTAGAAAAAACTATTCTTTTTTGATTTTTAATCAATTCGAGAATCAAGTATTCCTGAGAGTAAATGTTTTACATCAAATAATATGAAAATCAATATGAATAAAATCCACGAACGTATTAACAATTACGGATATTTTGATAAGATTTTATCTACTATTTAACAATTAATCATAATAACTACAATTTTTCTATTATTGATTCATTTCATCGTATTTGTTACTGCTTGTCTTCTTTTTTTTTCTTTAAATTTTGTAAATTTAATAGTGCTATATAAAAGTTAAATAAGCATCACTTGATTACACATAATGAAAAACAGACGATATAGAGTTTCATATTCGAGGAGTCATGTCTTGAAAAACGATGATCATGATTTTGCCAACACTTCGCATCAATAGGTTTTCGATGTATTAGCTCTTTTAGTCATAATAATATATGGATAGTGAAGACAGAAAATTAGTATGTCTTCTTGTGACTAGATTAAACTGATGACTTGGTTACATGAAGTCCATAATGTTCAATTCAAAAAACAAATGAATCCAGTTCAATAAATAATTAGTTATTATATGATTGTTTGAAAAGAGTATAAAAGAGAAATGATTTAGTAAGAATTATGGAATACTCTTTCTAATATAAATCATAATCTATATTCAAAAATGAAGAATAAAAGAAAAACTTTCGATCATTTCTATATTATCAGATAGTTATATAATTAGTTCTAATGTAAATCAATTTTGTCGTCTTAGTATCGGAAATAAAACGAATCAATTTATTCAATTTTTGAGTTTTTAAAACATTTTTTTGTTTCCTTCGGTTACATACATTTCATTTAGTTTAACATCGAATAAAGAATCAATATTTTTCAATGAATTTTTTTCCTGTTGTGATTTATTTATCATACATGATTAATTTATGTTTATCAGTTTCACATACATGAACATAGTTTTATATGTTCACGAAGAAATAGATGAATTATATTGAAAATTAAATGAACAATTCAATATTTTACATGAAAGGATAAGTGGCAATCTTGAAGAATTTTTTTTCAATTGTCATGGATTTATTATCTATATATTTTATAATAAGATTTAGTTCACGAACTCTTTGATAATCTACAATAAGAAATAATTAATATGTCATTAAAAACCATTGATAAAAAATTAATTTATCATTAGTATTAACAATATTTATATAATAAACAACATTATAGCCAAAACAATTGTCAATCACATGACAAAATATATCAAATGATGTAAACGATCTTTAACTTAAAAATAAAATATGATATTCATTTCATAGATTGAGACTGTTTAATTGTCCATGATTCATATGAGATGCATTGTATATATTCGGTCCACAATATTACCATCATGCCTCGCTGTTGTTAATTGGTAGAAATAGTTACAAATAAAAAAAAAATAATTTTCTAACTCTAATGAAGAATTTTGCATGTCAAATGTTTTGTTTTTTTTGTGAAGTTATTATAAAGATGAAGTTTTCCCTTGGGTGTCATGTCGGAACACGTCTAATTTGTAAATGAGAATTCTTGTTTATGAGTAATTTTCATTATATGATTTTTTTTTTAAATTAAAAATCAGAATTATAGGTGACGAAAATTTTGTTCAAATCTCAACAATAACAGAGATAATGGAAAATAATTCTATAGTTGTTAATTCATCTGTCTATACAAGACTTGTAATGATGATGTCATAGCGTTATAACTTTCTTTGTCTTCGCATTTTCGATTGTGACAATATCTGATGGAAACTAATAAAGATGAATGACAATTTAGAAGAGGAATAGTCATATAGTAAAAAAAGGTTTTCAAAAAATTGAAAGATTAGAAAAACGAGATTTTTACCTTTTAAACATAAGAAAAATCGTTAGTAAGATTGATTTATTTCTGAACTAAATTTTTTTTCTGTTGTTTCGTATTCGAATTCTATGATTCCAAAACTTAAAGTTCACTAACGGATTCAGAACACGTCATGCTCCATTTCAAGTGAGTCGTATCTTAAGAGTTTTACACTTGATACATTTTTTTCATGACTTTATCCACGATAAAATACAGCAAAGGAAAGTATATTCAAAAAATAAAAAGAACTTTCTTTTAGATCAAAGCATTATACTATTTATATTTTTTTGACAGTTGATTGAATAAATAAAAATTTGTTTTGTTTTTTGAGCAGAAAAAAAAGAACGTAATGTGATTAAATAATAAATTTTGAATAATTTATTTCCACTCTATTTTAAATCAAAGGTTTTTTAAAAATTTCATAAGAAATGCAAATATTAATGATTATTTTCCGTTTCTTGAAGAGTAAAAATAGTCTTAGAAGTGTTATTTGTTCCTTTTTTTTATTGCCGACAAATGCTTTTGAAATAGCTTTATTACACAAAAGAACCTTTTATTTATATTTTATTCAAGGCAACTAAAGAATTCATTAGAAAAGCAAAATCAAATATTAATTTTTATTTATTATTCCTTCAAGATTTATGCAATGCATGTAAATGATGGTTGTGATATGAACTTCTTTGATATCTTTGCGCTCCAGTAGCTATTATATTTTGTTGTATGTAGAAAATAACTTCTTTATATCATTCAATTGTTTTCTTTTAAATATTATTTTAAACTTTAAATTTTCTATTTAAATCTAGCTGAAAGACGAAATAAATCCTAATAATATTCATCAAGCTCCAATGAGCATATATGTCATTTTACTTTCATGAATATATGAATTTCTTTCTTTTTCTATTAGGTTTTGCTGTCAAGAATTATGTAGTCATGATCATATCAACAATAAGTGTTTATGATCTGCATAAGGTTATAGTTTCCATGCATATAATCATATACAATTCTATTATGAACATATTGAAATTCATCATTTACTTCTATATCAAAGCTATGCATCTAATCATCAACGAACAGATTATAAATTAAATATCAGCATAGAGAATATCAATAAATAAATGTACAATCACAATAGACAAACATTGAATCATTTATTTTCTTTTTATTGTTATATAAACAATTTCAATTTTTATAAGATAATTTTAATATGAATAAAAAAAAAAAGACAATTTATTTACGAAATAGTATTGTTTAATAAGTATATGTTTGTCCTTGATGCATTGAATAATCAAATGATAAATTTGTATTCATCATCCATGGTATTGATTCAATAGATGAATTATTTGCATGTTTTGCTCGAAGACGTGCTTGTCTACGTCGAAAATCACCTCGAAGAAAAGGATCAAGTGAAGCTGGATGAATACTCCAATAATAACCACGACCACTTTCAGATTTATTTTGTCGAATAAAACATTCATTTAAAGATAAATTATGTCGAATAGAATTTCGCCATGCTTTACTTTGTAATGTTGCATAATAAGGATATTGATGAATAATCCATTCATAAATATCAACAAGTAACATTTGATAATTTGGTGACGATAATATAGCTCGAGCAATCAGAGCTACATAGGATTCTTCAGGTTTAGTATGTACTTTTTTATTTGTATGAGAATATATTTGATCGTTCGATGGACTAGAACTAAGATAGCCACTGTCTTGTGGATTCATATTCCTATGTAAAAAAAAAAGAAACAAAGAAATATTAATATTTAATTGTTTTATATATTTATAAAATTTTGACATAACTTATTTATTTTATTTAAAGTGAATCGTAAGATTTTTGTTTTTCTGATAGCATACTTTAAATATAAAATCTCTTCACTTTTAATAATCAGATTGTATTCAAAATTAAAAAATATTACTACACTAACTAAATAAAAGTTAACTTCTATTGCTATTGCATTCAACTTACTTTGTGTTTGAACAAGAAGACAAGAAGTAAATTTAAATTTTAAGTCATCTTCTGCAAATAATTCTTTATATATATATCTGCTTTTCTCTCTCTCTCTCTCTCTCTCCTACAGAAAATTAAATTGTTGATACAGTTTGAATAATGATGAACTGCCACTGCTGTGTTTGAAATTGATTAATGATATCGGTATTAGGTGACAGCTTGTTCATCAATTTGTGTTGTTCTCACATAAATATGAATTGTTGACAGAAGAAAAAAGGTGTCATCGACATACTGATCAATGATCAGCTAGAACACGATCACTTGTAAGCTGCCGCATGAAATGATAATCTAACGTTTTCTTTCTTTTTTTTTCTACATGACTTCATAATTGATAAATAAAGATTTTATATCAGAAATAAAACATGATGATGGGATTATTAGTTTGATTTCTCATTGTTCTTTCCCATGTAAAGATCAAATACAAGCGAAAAACTAATATCGATTATTGTTTTGAAATAATAATCTATCGATTGTGTGACTTTAGAATTAATCTTTCAAAAATAAAATCTTTGACTTTCTTTGCATTGTTGAAAGTTAGTCATTTTCTTATGAATTAATAGATATGAAAAAATGATCAATCGACAAAACTTCTATTCTTTTGAATAGTTTATAATAGAAAAAAAAACTTGTGTAAACAAGTTTTCGATATATTTGCAAAATCTCATAACAATGTCTGATATTCTTTCTCTTACTAATAAAGAAGTTGACATCAATGATCATATTTTAATTATCTTTAAACGATTTTTTTCTAGAAGAAAATAGACAAAGAAAAAAATATTGAAAATTATTGATTGAGATTCTATGTAAAAATTATAATTAATAACAATACTGATAAATAACGTCCTTCAGTTGAATATATAATCTACTATTAGATCTCAAGCAGGCAATACTAACAAAAATTTTTTATCATTATTGATAGTAAGAATAATAAAGCAATTAGTTGTATTATAATAAGATTAAAATGCTTTTGTCTTTTGTATGTAAAGAATTCTCAAATGAATATACGAAGATGAATATGCCATTGTTACATCTTCTTCTTCTTCTTAGTAAAATAAAAATAAAAATTGCCGTCATTCTCTTGTTATTTATGCATAAATGATTCAGAAGAGATATGTCTATGTTACAAATTCAGAAAACCAAAATTTTGCTCTTGTGAGTTTTCTAACATAACATAAATTTATTTATTATATGTTCTTGAAAACAAAAAAAAAGATTAAATGAATATTTTTTTTTCCTGAACAAAAAGTCTAATATATTTTTCTTTACTGAAATACGTGTCTTTTTATACTAATACACAATAAACACGATAAATTCTATACACATTTATGAGTACAAAAGCAAGAAAAAAAAAAAAACAACAATCTTCTATAAATATTAGATTAATACATTATATTATTGATATTCCGGCCGATATTGAATATATTGACTAAGACGATAGGGAAGTTCACGAGTTATATCTTCAATTTTTCCCTTTGATTCATGTAAATAATGTATCAATAAACGACGACAAATAGATTTTAAATTAAGTTCATTTGGTAAGACAATAATTGATACTTGTAATTCTCTTCCACCATTATTTTTTGTTGTACAAAATGCCATTCTTGAAGAAGATACAGAAAAAATTGGTGTTAAAAAATTTCGACACATATGTAATGGACATATATGAGGCATTAATTGTTGATGAATACGAGTTAAACGTTGTAATGTATTTGCATTGTATATATCAAAATAACTAATAGGTAATGTTTGTCCACAATGACATCGTATATCTGCAAATGTTAATATAATATAAACACTATCAGGTGTATAAATAATTGATAAAAGACGAAATCCTTCATCAAATGAAATATGTTCATATTTATATGTTGACCATTTATGTACATTTTTTAAAGTTAAATATGATCCAATATGTTGTTCATTTAATGGCATAGTATGTGTTTGAATTTTATTTGAACCACCAGGTGTTAATGCAGTTATATTATAACTAATTAATGTACTTTGATATTGATTTATACATGTATATATAGCTAAATGAGATGACCAATAATTAGGACTAAATTGAAATTGAGCATGAATATCAATTGGAAAAATTCGACGATAAAGTTTAGCTTCTTTTTTTATAACTAGAAATAAAAATTGATATTGAAAGAAAAAAAAAAAAAACAACAAATGTTTAACATAACAACAATACTTTTATAAAAATCTAATGCAGCTGATCCACCATTAATTGGTACACGTATAATAACTTGTGTTCTATCTATTGAACAAGCTGAATGAACTTTACTTGCATCAATTAATCCATTATAATCATCACCAAGTGCACAAACATATCTATTTAATTTTAAATCCACAATAATAAATTTTGTTTTATCTAAAACAACAGAATAAATTGATAACATTATTGTATCACCATGATTAAAACCCAATATTGAACAACCATTAACAATTCTATGAACAGAATAATTTTGTAATGAACTAATCATTGCTGGTATATGATTATATTCAAAATGTTCACGTAATTTTTTACTTTTTGTTGATGTTGATGATGATGGAAGAATTGAACGAGATGTACAACGAAATTTTTTTGTTGAACATCGAGAAAAACCATGAAGTTTACGTGATAAAGATTCTGAACAAAAACCAGGAGCACATATACTATGAAGTTCAGAATTACATGTAAATGTATGATGAATAAAACCAAATAATTCTAAAATTGATATAAATTAAAATAAAGAAAATAGAAGTTTTTTTTTTTCTTAAAAAATATTTCTTACCTGATATTCCATGAAGCCAATCAATATGTGAACCCCGATAAATTTCTTGCCATCCATAGTAATCTGTTTTTTTATTGATAATAAGAGATTTATTTGTCGTAGTAATCGATGATCCCCAGTTATTATTATTATTATTATTATTATCACTAGTTGAAGATTTTAATCGATGATTTTCTTTTGAATGATGTGTACCCATAGTTCGAAAATAAATTTAATTAGAAAATATTTTTTTTTTTTGTTTGATGTCCAAGTACTTTTAATAAAATCAATCTATTGAAGATGAAAAATAAATATAATTTTCAAGAGTACTTAAACATATAATGAAATATACGACCAAAAAATAACACAATTTCTACCAATGTCATTACTAGAGTACATGAAAACAGAAAATTTCAATAATTTTTTCCTCACTTGTTTTCTTTTTTTTCATCGAACAACAGAAAAGGTATCGATCATATTGATAAAAAAAAAAAGATAGCGTGATGATAGAAATAGGACGGAAGAAAAGATGACAGCATGCAGTCTCTAAGGAAAAATCTATGTGATATATACACAGACATTACTAGCATGATTGTTAGCAAAAAAAAAAAAAAAAAGAAAATGGAGTGTCGTATCTAAAAAGCGAATGCGTTTTCAAGTTGATGATTGAATTATCTATTTGATGTATGTATAATTTTGGTCAATCCATGGGGATGTGATACGTGACAAGATAAGTTATATAATCGTCACTATTCAAACAACATGTTTATATAGACATTTTAGTAGATTTTTGTGTTTTTTTACTTATTATTAATATCATCCTCATTTATTTATTTAATCAATAAAAACTATCATCATCTCATTCTTTTCTGGCATAGAAGATTTATCGGACATGATAATAATGTTTTATCTGATCTGAGTCTAATCCAAATATATAAGAAAAACAATATAATAAATCTTTCTTTCGTTTTTTCAGCATCTGTTTTAGATAAAAGACAAAAATATTCATTAAAATTACTAAATATTACTTTTTTTAATAATAATAATAATTTGAATGTTTAGTAATTATTAATTACTAACGGATGATGTCTAATGTGTATAATTGGTCACATATAAGTAGACAGAAATACAGTTCTATCTGTTTGATATTATTATAGAGAAAATACGAATATTAATTCCCATGAGAATTTCTTTCTTTCTTTCTTTCTTTCTTTTTTTCAGTTTACATATACGTCATTAGCTGAGTATGATATTTTAGCTATTTTTAACGATGATGCTAAATCAACCGTAGAAGAGAAGCATGCAAAATAATGTAATACATTCAAAAGAAATTTCTATTTATAAAAAATTTCTTCTATTAAATAAAAACAAAAGCTTTATTCAAATTATTGTCTTTGAAAGGGAAATCATAATTGATACAAAACAATCAGTGACAAACTGTCTAGATTGATTTATATGACTAACATTTTATTGTTGATATTAACATTCTATCAGATTGTTTCAAGCTTTGTTTGGCGATGCAAATACATATTGTCAATAGAAAATATATTAATTTTATAAAATGAATTTTCTTTTTTTTTTTTTTCGAGTTTAGAAATTACATTTGTAGAAAAGAAAATTTGATTTATTTACATAGTAGAACTATTCCTATTATTGAAATGTGTTTAGAATGAAAAAAAAAACACAAGAACAAATGGGCTTGCTGGTTCGCTTCCGGCTAGAAGAAAATTTTATATAGACATTATGAGAAAGCTTGAAAGTATTTGTATGTTTACAAGGAAAGCTTAGATACACATTGACTCTGTTTAGTTCTCTCATTTCTTTCTGACCAATAAAAAAATAGAGTTGAGTAGTATTGAATCATTCATCTGAATTTTATATAACTTACCTTTTTTTTTTTTTCTAATTCAGATTTATTTTTGTATTCGTCGAATATTTAATAGCCTTTATAAGTTCATCATATCGGTTGAAATAGTGTTTTTCTTTTTTTTGGTATGCGTATATAAAACTTCACTTCGTTGCCGCCTTTCTTCTCAATAGAGATGATATTCTTTTCTTGTTAATACTACCGTCTTCTGGTTTTTTTTTCTTCGTCGTTCTATCATCTGCCAATTGAGTCAGCTGCTTCTTTTATTTGACCTCTTTTTTTTTTTCATTCTCATTCAGAACGAGAAAAAAATGTAGTAGCTATTGTTGTTACCAGGGTTTTTGCGTGCTATTTTTTTCTTACATTACAGACGATAAAAATAAACCAAGGAATAACTTCATTTATGTTATTTCATCTTTCGAAACGTGTTCAGTGATTTAGAGTTAAGTAAATAATGGTAACTAAAAAAAGAAACAACAGCATTTTTATTGAAGACAAAAAAAAACATGTTCAACAATAAATCAATGATGATGTTCATCATAACGTGGATCAGATACTGATGAAACAACAGGTTTAGGACGCTAAACAATACGCATTTTCTGAACTAAATAATCAACCATTGCCTGTATTGTATATAATTTATCATAATCACTATCTGGAATTTCAAAACCTAGAAATAAATAAAAAAAAAACCGACTATTTAGAAAGAATTATAAATAGAATCTATAAATATACCAAATTCATTTTCTACGGCAACAATTATTTCAACATGATCAAGACTATCTAGACCAAGGTCTTTCATAAAATGCGTTGACAATGTGATCTAAATGAAACAAAAGAGAGGAAGAAATTCTTTTTTTATAATAAATCGATTTATTCTCTTCGAAAGCGTAATTTATCAAAAGAAGTGTTCTTATCCTAAAATTAATACAGAATATAAGAAAACACTATGGTAATCAATCGAAAGATAAAGAAAACAATCTAAACAAATCATAAAAAAATCATGTGTTCTCCAGAGTAATGTATCTTTCTTCTGAGAATTTAGCAAATACTAACAAATACTATAAAAATGATTCTATGACAGAATAGCTTCTAAATTAAGAAATAAAATCTCAAATGTTGAAGAATTACTATTGCAAATTGTATTAATGTAAGTCAACGAAACTTTGCTGATGATAAATATTTATATTTGTATTCACAATTGAATCAAGCAAAACGTTCAGTCAAAATTCGAATTGATTTTTGAGATATATAAATTGCAAGAGTATGCTGCTATTTCTTTTATACATAGTCGGTCGTTTAGTACAAGATTCATTAAAAACTTATAAATAACTTTTGATAGATTCTTTATATACCAATACAATTATTGATCAGTGTTTCAAAACAAGACTAAAATTAAGTTTGAACTTCGATGGATTGCTCACACTGATATATATTTCGAGATTATTTTATTATGCAAATATCTATTAGCTCAAGGCAATCCATTAGATGTCTCTAAAGCGTATCCTATATAGAAAGTTTTTCAGTCAATGATAGACGATAGCAATAAAGAATATTCTTTCTATAAGATTATAAATATTCTATGAGGATCTTTGAAAAATAAATAAAACCTCAATGATAAATATCATTAAAGTATTCATTACAATAATTAGCTCATTCATTATTCATTAAGGGAATCCTTCCCTCTCAGATAAACTCAATTCTTAGTCAAATTTATCAATTTTGTGATTTATGGCTTGTTAGATAGAACAAAGTGTCTACTCTCGAATTCATTATAATTGGTTGATTTTAGGATGAGTTTTAAAGAACTTCCATATTGAAAAAAATAAAGTTTTTAAAAACTTATTTTCCGTTTTTCTTAAAAACCGTTTTTTCGAGTATACTATTTGTGCAGGCAAATCTTACTCAATAACGACTCAATATAAAAGTGCCAATTTTTTTTTACTGCATAGAGGACAGTTAGGACTAGATCCTAACAGAGTCCGATTTTTGAATTTCTCTATTAGCGAAATAAAAAACTAACATGTTTCATTTTTATCAACGATTTTTTTGACTATGAATTCGAGAATTTTTTGGAAAAGATTTTTTAAAAAATAAACAAAAGGAATTTCAAAAATCGGGCTCTGTGAGGATCTACAACTTAAAAACCGCTCCGGCATGCTAACTCGTATCCTGATTGTGAAAACTTTGCCCTGCATACAGGATAGTTTTGACCAATAAACTGACTATAACCCGTTAATATCGCGCAGATTTGGGAAGATATTTTAACCATAATCTACTCTAACCAAAACTAACATTCTCCGAAAATTTTGATTGAATTCCATGGAAAAATTAAAAAGTTTGTTTATGAAAGGAGAACCCTCTTAAATCTTATCATTACAAGTAAAGATTTTAAATTCTTCTAAATTTACATTATTTTTATTAGCTTCTTGAATTTTATCATATTCATTACAAATACGTAATACACGTCTTTCAATATCATGTGGTGTAGAAGGTGGTCGTGTACGCATTTGATCAGCTTCTTTGATATGTTGATCAAGTATTGCTGTACGACGTGATACGATAACATATGGCCAAAACTATGAAAAGAATGATTGTTTTTTTGATTAATATTATCAATGAAAAATTTTCAATTATTTACTGAGTTATTTGGATATACATTCATATGATTAGATAATGTATGTAAACGATTACATAATGATGTTGATAAACGAGCATTTAAAATAGGTTGAAGATGAATACTTTGACGAATAATTGTTTTCAACATTTTACTTCTCTTAGAATCTTGTCTGTAAAACCAATGAAGAAAATTCAATGATGACTCATTCTATATTTTCATTGGTTTATTCAAGCACTATTAATGAAGAAAAATAATTTTATAAAATAGAAAATCAAATAATATCATATTTATAATTAAAAATTTATTTATTTTTTTCATAAGAAATCGAATTTTATACAAATCAATCATTGTTCGTAATCATACCATAGCAACGTACATTGCAATGGGAAACTGGATTTGATAAATAGTGGATTTTGATAATTTTCACTATTTGTATTCGAGCTTTTAACCAAAATTTTGTCTCGATGACGACATTTAAAAATGGTCGAACTTCAGTTTCTGCATCAACTAATGCTCTTCTTGCCATTCCTTATTCACATACGAATGGTGAAACTCGAAATTTTGATTTAACTACATCATCTCAAGATACTACAGTATATACGGCTGCTGATCCACCTTATATATCAAGTCAAGTATATATAGAATAGATATATAATTTAGATGAAAAATAGTAAAAATATCTTATTTTCATAGTTGAAAAGTTCTGAATGGCTTCAACGTTATGGTTTAAAAGCGCAGAAATTAACATTTGATCAAATTCTTCAACAAATTGGACTTAAGCGTATTGAAAGTTTGTTTGTTTTTTTTAATTATTTCACAAGAGTTTCTGTTTAATATTTGAAAATTGACAAAAAAAAGAATTTGATGAAAATCTGCATCATTTTTACTTGATAGAAGTGAAAACAAATTCAGATTGAAATCAACATTACGATAGTAGAAGCCTATCAAGTGACATTGTAGAACTCGAAAAAAAAATTTTTTTAAATATATATTGACATTTGATTTCGTTTGTCATTACTTATCCATTAAAGAATCACTATTTGAAGTACACTTGTATAGCGTGAATATTAGGTTTCCCACTTCACTGCCAACTAACTGGAAAACAAACTTTCAGTTTTATTTCAATTGCTCGTTTATAATACGATTAGAGTCTACATTGTGTTAACTTGAATCTTAGATGCTTTATTGTAACCAAATTTAAAGAAGAAACGTGCTTTACCGACGTTTTATAGCGAGACAATTTTGAATACAAACAATTTTCGTTTGATAATGCAATATGAAATAGAGAATGTCACAGATCGTTTTCTTCGTCCTGGCAGGACGATCTTTTTATTGCTTTTTTTGACAAGACTATTAAACTTGTCTATGCGTGAGGTACGATGTCAAATATCATAGACTCTCTATTGATATAAAAATCACTTTCAGTAATCGTGTTAATAACTCTTATCACATGTTTTCTAGTGGAAATAAAATGAACAATAAAAAAGATACCCGACATTCATAAGGTGGAAAAAGAAAACAATAATAAAACAAACATAAAGATGCAGAATCTAAAATATAATCAATATTAACGGATAGACAAAGAGAAAGAATAAGTTTTCTTTTTCTTGCTTTTTCTTGAATTTCTCATAAGAATGAATAAATAATGTTGTCCATTTCACTTGATGATAAACGTATTCGGCTTTGAGCAAATGTCAACACAGCTGAGCTTAAAATAATCTTTCTTCTGAAGCACGGCAGTCGCTGATATGTCATCTACTCTTCTGACTACTATTGATAATAATAGAACATCACGGCGAACTTCATTGAATCATGATCAATGTGATAACTTGGGCTTTCTGCAGGATTCAAATAGTATTCTGTAGAGTACGCATCTTGTGATGATTTCCAATATGAAAAAAAAAATGTTGATCATGTCCAACTCAGAATGAGAATCATATTCTTCCTATCATATAACAAAAAAAAGCGTTTTCTGAAAAGTTGATAAAATAGATTGTTCTCTGTTTTTGGGAATTTAATAGAATTTTTGAAAATACCATCCTATGACATATTTACAGTATAATTAACAGTTTGAAAAATTACTAGAATAATATGGAATCCTTTTTCGAGATGAGATGAATAGAAATTCTTATGTACAAACTATTTGAAAATGAATCGGTTCTAACGAGGGAGGGTCACCAACTGATCAATCGCTTTTGAGTCGGAACTATGTGCATCATATAGGTCATAATGAGCTATGAATACCGTGAAAAGAGTTCGGGGGGATAGCTTCTTACTGCTGAGATATAGCATTTTTACTATATTTTTCAGAAAAAGCTGTGGTCCCCCTCAGGAACATCAGAAAAAGTGAGTTTTGAGTTTCCGTCTGAAACTTTGCATGTAGATAGGCCTCAATGAGAATAGTTTATTGTGAATGTCTCAGATTTTTTGGTTGCTCCTAGTCTGAGATAAGAACATCGGATCCGCTGGTGTATATGAGCAATTTTACAACAACTGTATCTTAGGATAGGAACAACAAAAAAAGCTGAAACTTTCGCAATAAAGTATTTTCATCGAGGTCTATATCCATGCAAAGTTTGAAGTCGAAATTCGAAATTCAGTTTTCCAAGTGTTCCTGAGGGGGACCACAGCTCTTTTTTCTTAAACATACAGTAAAAAGGCAGTATCTCAGCAGTAATAAGCTATCCGCCCGATCTCTTTTCACGGTATTCATAGCTCATTAGGACCTATATGATGCACATAGTTCCGGCTCAAAAGCGATTGATCAGTTGGTGACCCTCCCTCGTAAGATGTAGTTTGTAGTAAACACAAATACACCTTGGTAAATCTACATTTTATAATATTCGTATTGAATTCTTTTGTAATTTATTTATGACATCCAATTGCTTCAAATTAATTGTAAAAATTTTCTTCTATAGTATAAATCTAGAAATAAGTTGATTGTATTACTTAAATCGAAGACATCCGTTGATAAATATTTATCAAGAAGATTAATTTGTATATCAAAAATTTTCGTTTTACTTGTCAGATCGATTTTAAAATCTTAACTAACGATGTATTTTCAATAATGAATCTACGTTATTTTTGAATAAAAAATAGTATTTCTGGTTTTTTTGTCCTTCATTCCTATATTGAGGAATAACTATATTCCATTTTTTTATTTCTTGTTAATAAATTATTACAGATTTCAATGCATCACGTGGTAAAACAGTCGATACTAAATATGCTGGTAATATTTATCATGAAATACAACAGGATAATGGTGATCGATATGTTGTAAGATCAAGAAATTTTTATTGTTTTATTTTGTGTTTAGTCTGATTTTTTTTTTAGTTGACATGTCGACCGGAAAAATTAGCTGAATATCGATATCGTTTGATACGAATGTTAAATTTATTACGAAAACGTTTAACATTTATAACAAGTGGATCACGTCGTGCATTTGGAATAATTGGAGAACCAAGTGTTTGTTTTGTATGTGATTGTAAAACATCTGATCAACGAATATTAAATCAATTTCAAACGATTTTAATAAGTTTATTTAAAGAACAAGTTACAAAAATCAAACGATTTAATATTATTTGGTAAAGAGATTTTTGTTTTTTATTTTGCATTAATAAAAAATCACTAAAATTTATTTAATATGAATAAAATTAGGGTTTCAAATGATAATGAACAATTTCAACAACAACCGATTGATGTTACATCAACAACTATTGATCAAGCTGTAAGTTTTTGATGATTTAGAAGAAAAGAAATATAACTTCTCTACGTAATACTGATTTAAAAAAAAGACAGAGTACAAAATATGAGAAAATATCTTCTTAGCGATGTGAACTATAAATCTATTTGAATTCTATAGATAATCAAAAAAAAATTTCCGATAATCTGTGTCTGATTTCTAATGGTTCACAGTAAATATATCGATCAAAAATATTGAGCTACAATTAGATCAAGAGTCAAAAAGTAAGACTTCGCATGACCAAAATTTTTCCTTCAAATCTAATGATATAGATTTCGAGTTGATTTTAAAATACAATCAAGGCCTACCGCTACAACTTAACAGATTCCAATATTTCAAAATATTGTTTTTTTTAATATTTCTGATGAAAATTTCTCTCAAAAAATTCGAAAAGTAAGTCGAAAATGAAAATTTCAGCTCTGTTCGGTTGTCAAGCACAATTTTCTCTTCAAATTATCCCTTCTCGGTTTTTCTAGTTTGTAAAATGATCGAGAAATCTTTGACACAAGAACAAGAAAAAATAGAAAACTTTATTTCGAGAAAAATATAAAACAAAGTTAGGCTTAGGAATCCAAGCTTCTTCCTTAATAAAGCGATATAGAAAACAAACTGTAAAAAAAAAGCATAATAAATTCGGTAAATCGTATTATTTTTGGAAATACACATTGAGAGTTATCCAACAGCATCAAAATCGCATTTTTTGACAGAGAATTTGACCTTAAATATGTATGAACATCAAATAGATATGATTACTAGAACTGCATGTTCTCTAGAAATAGAAAAATAATCGATAATCCAAAGTTAGACACGAAGTTATATCAAAAGTTAATCAATGATAAGACTTTTCTTTTTCGTTTATCTAACTATTCAAAATATTAAATTTTCCAGTTAGTTCGAAAAAAATGTTGGATTTGAATTCGTATGAAACACATTTCATCAAAATCTTCATCTATTTTCTCATATATAAACATTTTAAAATGACATTAGATATTTTTAGTAAAGATTACATTTACGTATTTGTTTTGTCAACTGAATGGGAATCATATCTTAATTTATACAATTCATTGATTTCATAAATTACAAAATGAAATAACATAAAATTTTAAATAATGACTTAATTATACATATTTCATTATATTTGTTTAGATTGATTGGATATCTAATCGAAAATGTCTTCGAAGTAAAATTTCAATGAGTGCAACATGTGAAGCTATGCTTAAAGCATTTAATAACGCTGTAAATCTTTTTTTGAATTTATTTTTCCTTATATTTCAATGTATATATATCTATTTTTTTTTACATTAAGGTTCATAGTATTTATTTAATAAGTGAAGGTACTTCATCTGATTCAGCACGTGAAATGTTACGAGATAATATTGTTAAAACACGTCTTTCATCAAAAGCA